TGGAGCCCCGCCTAGAATCTCCCAGTGAGGGTCTGGGGCGTGGTCAGGATGGAGCCCCGCCTAGAATCTCCCAGTGAGGGTCTGGGGCGTGGTCAGGGTGGAGCCCCACCTAGAATCTCCCGGTGAGGGTCTGGGGCGTGGTCAAGGTGGAGCCCCGCCTAGAATCTCCCAGTGAGGGGCTGGGGCGTGGTCAGGGTGGAGCCCCCCCCAGAATCTCCCGGTGAGGGTCTGGGGCGTGGTCAGGGTGGAGCCCCCCCAGGATCTCCCACTGGGCTGAGTGTTTTATGTGTAAAGCCCCTGTTAATATGTTCTAGTATGTGGGTTCTAGTCCCAGCATCACACAAAACAGTTGTTAGTGCTTTATAGGAAGCAAGTGTCAGTTGCCTAGGAGTTTCCTTCTGTTTCCCTTCGGAGCTATGTGCTTTTCAGTAGTTTTGTACTTTTAGAGTTTCTAACTCCAGTCTCCTGGGGGGGGCACCCATTCCCCATGTTAACCTGTGAACAGGAAGGGCAAGGGTTCTTTCTGAATAGTCTGTCAGCCTGCAAACATTGTCTTAAAACATATACTGTAATGATGGTGGTGGTACACGCCTTTAATCCCACTTCTTGGGAGACAGAGACAGGCAAATCTCTCTGAGTTTGAGGACGGACTGGTCTACAGAGCGAGTTCCAGGATTGCCAGGGCTACACAGAGAAACTCTGTCTCAGAAAACCAACACGCATATGTTTTATATTAATTTATTTCTATTTATGTGCGTCACAGCATCTGTGTACCACCCATCCAGCTGGGGTTGTCAGGTTAGCCGAAAGTGCCTTCACCTACTGAGCTGTACAACAGTACAGCCCAGAGCTTGTCCGTTTCCATGTTTAACTTGTGTACAATAAGTAACTGTAACTGAAATCCACAGGTCAAGCTATACAAAACTTGAAAGTGAAACTGACTAGAAAGCATAGCTCACACAAACTGTAACCTATCAGCCAATCCAACCAGAATCCAAAGGTTAAGCCAATGAAACCATAAGAAACTGGAAACCGGAAACCATTAACAAAACCAACTAGAAACTACAAAGACGACAACTGGAAATCATAGGTCCAGCAAGCCAGAAACCATACATTAAAGTGACTAGGAACTAGAGGTCAAACCAGTTAACCAGAAACTGTAGAGCAATAAGACAGAACCTGTTTGTCTATTGATACAGGACAGCTTTCTCATTCTTCTCTAGAACATTCTTCTCCTGGGAACCTGGATTTGATTCTGCTGACCAGGAACCTACATTATGGTCTTGAGTTGTTTCAAGACATGCCTACCAGAAAATGCACTGCCCTATTACACTCCCACGTGCACACGTCTACGTGCGGACACACACACACAACCTGTCCCCCGCTCCCCCCAATACCTTATTGAATCTTAACTATGAGCACGTAGTAAGCATCATTGTTAGCTTTCTGCTACTGTAACATAGCTGAGACAGCACGAATAGCTGACTAGTCTCACATGACCTCACGGGACATAGACCTGTATAGTACTAGGTGTTTGTGAAGCTGAACAAGAGGATTAGTTTAGCCTAGGAGCTGAAGCAAGCTTAGAACATATAGGCAGGTGTGTGTGTGTGTGTGTGTGTGTGTGTATGTGTGTGTATGTGTGTGTAAGAGAAAGAGAGAGGGGGGAGGGAGAGAGAGAGAATTATTCTAGTTTTTTTTCTTCCTATTTTTTTTTCTTTTTTTTCAAACAGGGCTTTACTGTGTAGCTCAGGTTGGCTTCCAAAATCCCAATGATCCCCCTCCCTCTGCCTCCCAGGTTCTGAGACAACAAATGTGCCTCTTTGCACCTGGCTTGGGCTAATTGTTGCTGTCTGTTGTTTTGGCCCATGGTTTTAGGGGTTTGTGTACTGATTGCTTGACCCTATTGACTTGGGTTGGTTGGACTGGGGTTCCCATAATCCTCTTCAAGAACACATTTTAAGTGAATGAAAGACCTCTTCTAGGTCTCAACTCTGAAAAGTTCTATTACCTCCCTACAGAGTGGAGGCAAAGATAGATCTTTTAACACAAGAGCCACTGGGAGATACCCCAGAGCCAACTTACAGCAAACACCAGCTCCCTTAAAAACACCACTTGTCCGTCTCCAACCTATGAGACACATCTCCTGGATAGATGAATTTCCCATCAGCCACTTAGGACACTGCCTTCTGTGTTAGTACAGATGCACCCATCAATCATCTCCACCCATCCATCCACCTACCTATCGTCAACCCACAAACCCACCCACACACCCACCTACCCATCATCTATCCACTCACTTACAAAGCCACCCATCCATGTTCCCCCTCAGCCCCTATCCATCTACCTACCCACCATCCAACCATCCATCTACCTGCCCATCTGTCTGTCTGTCCATTCATCTGCCCATCCTCCTCCATACCCCCCCCCACCAACTCCCAACCCAGGCCCTCTCTTTGTCCCCAGGACTAGAGATGAGGATCTTCGGCATATGATTGCGGTTTCTGTGATCTTATGGGCAGTTGCACTGACCAGCTGGATCAGTGACCGTGTACTTTGCAGTTTCTGGCAGCGGATTCACTTCTTCTATCTGCATAGCATTTGGTAAAATACCCCTCTTGGATCCCAAGAATCCCATGTCAGAGTTCAGATGCTAGATGTAGAGGTGTGTCTGGGGTGCAAGAGTGGAAGAAGGACAAGATCCAGACACTGGGATGTAGAGGTGGTGGGGAGAGGCTATAAGGCTGCCTGGACCTAAAGATACAAGAAGACTGGGTAGGGCTGGGGCACCTCTTGATTTCTTACCCCACCCTCTTTTAACCACAGGCATGTCCTCATAAGCATCACTTTCCCTTATGGTATCGTGACCATGGCCCTGGTGGACGCCAAGTATGAGATGCCAGATAAAACCCTCAAAGTCCACTACTGGCCCCAGGACAGCTGGCTCATTGGGCTACCCTATGTGGAGATCCAGGAGAATGACAAGAACTGCTGAGCTCTGCTGTAGTCTCTGTTCTCCGACAAGCCACCTAGTCTCCTGTGTTCTGAGGATACAGGGTAGGATCAGGGTTTCAGTGGGCACACTCGCAGGCCCCACACCCATGCTCCTTGTCCTGCTCTGTTGGCACAGGATGGACTTACTTGTGGCTCAGGCTACTAGTTTGCTGACAGTACCCTGGGCAGGGGCTGCCTGGTGTGTGGAATGACTGGCCTGTGTCCTACTTCTGCCTATGAGACCACAGCTTCTCCATGGCCACTGATGTGGTGGGTGGATGGGTGTGTGGCTGATACAGCACCTGCTTGAAGCATAATGCTTGCTCTCTGGCAGCTTGCACATCTGGGACTGTTTATGAGTGTTATAGATCCAACTGGGTTATGATAGTGTTCTGGGAAAGTGGGGAGTAGCCAGAGAACATTCTAGGCCCCACCACATACAGATAGGTATGTGTAGAGACCTCTTTGAACCACCACATGCACTCAGGGCATGGTGTTGAATGTGAGAGCCATGAGTAAGGAAAACAGGGTAACCTGGGTGACATCATGGGACTGAGTGTGTCAGAGGAGAGCATGGTGGCCATTCTAGTCACTTAGAGGGAAGGCTAGTGGGGAAAGGGTTTCCATGATGGCTAAGGACACAGAGTTAGACGTGCCAAAGCTTGACTTTCTTTTTTTTTTTTTTTTTTTTTTTTTTT